ACAGCATTAAAATGACTGAATACCAACTCCAGAAATTTTACCACAATGGTTCAGTTCACATGAAACAACGATGGAAATATACATTTCAATTCTTAGCAGGGAGAACAGAGCTTACTACGATTTTCAAAGGCGTCTGTGAGCGGTAGCCACTGAACAACATGGCTTACCTAGGCTGTTAACCAGCACCGTCTGACACCATCTTGGATTTGTGAGGTGCAAATTCAGAGGAACAGTGTTGAGAACTTTTAAAAACTCAGTGTTTTGAACCTTCCAGTGGTTAAAGTGATAGTGTATATTCTTCACACATTGACATTCTCACCGTAACAGCCCTATTTGAGGGTTGTTTCTGTTAAATCATTTCCCATCTTTTGTGTACTATTAAATCAGAATGGATATGGAGCTGGTGTCTACAAAAGTCAACTAATGTAGAGAGTTAAGCAATTAGCACAAAAGTTTTAAGTTTCTTATCGCCGTTATTGGTGGATTGCTCAAAGTATTCCCTCTCTAGGCACTAGAAAAGCTGGTGAAAAAGCAGATGGAAAGTCAAGGCAGCAATCCTCTCAGCCAGTGGAAAAGTCAACAAGATGAAATTCAAAACCAGATTAAGAGCAGCTTTGCACAAACTCTGTCCTTCAAATTCACTTAGGCTCTCATGTGTTTTTCACTCAACGAGGATAGGATCCTCAGCACATCTGAAATTGAGGACTAGCAATTATCAGGTGAAACTGGGATATGAAGTTAGTCATTCCCAGTAAATGAAGCCACAAACAGGGTCTTCCAGTTCGGCCCATCTAACCACAGGGACTAACAGAATGAGCACTGGAAATGAGGCCAAACCTTGATTTAATGCCACTTGTCCACATAACTGAAATGGCCAGGGCCCAAAAGCTCTCTCTACTCACAAAGCACTAAAATACGTCTCACGACATTGGGACACATCTCCTGTGCCACATGAGACATTTAGTTCAGAGGTACTTGCACCTGCTACCTATACTCTTCAGACCATCTGTGTAGCTAGCAGTAGACCTAAGGCCACAACCATGTTTATTAATTTATATTGTTTACAACTCTACCTCTGAGCAAACCTACCTTAAACCCCCTTTATTGGTCAGTGCAGTTGATTTGTAGTCTTCTCTGCCCTCACATCAGCCATGACGCAATTCATTTTTCTCAACCACAAGAATTCTCAAGTGCAACACTGGTGGTTTTGGTTATCTCTGAAAGAACCATATAAAAATAATCACCATCTACCCCAGAAGGTGTAACCACTCAGTAACTAGTCGAGCTGGTCACGGATTAGAGATCCTTTAACTGTCCAAAGATAGTTACTGTTGAGTTAATGAGTTAATCGGCTTTTCTTCACTGATGTCAGATTCTAAGTGAGTGAGAGTGGGCTGCCAGTCGAAAAGAACACAGATTACAAAGATTGTTGGGTGAAGAAATATCTTACTACAGATTTGTCAATGACGTTGAATACAGTTTTCTAAAGCTAGATGGCTTATCCTCCAATCTGGGTAAAATAATCAGTTTGCTTACTGTTCAATTTCTTCTGAAAAAATAATGGAAAGATAAATATACTTAACAAACTCTGGCTTCAGAAATACCATGGTAGCAAACAATTTTATTAATTCTTTCATAAAAATGGCATTTAATAAATTCTCTCTAACACTTTGATATTATTAAAAGCCAAAAAAAGTCTTTAAAACAGTTCCTTTTGGTGATTTACATTAGCTTTTTATAGAATTAATTGATTTTTTTTGTCTTATAAACCTACCTAAAATACTAATAATCAAATCAGGGTAAAAACCATACAATGTATTTTCTTTATTTCAAAATAGTGATTATAAATACATTCTTAATATAATTTTCTCCCCCAGCTCTTTGGATGCGACAATAACAGAAAACCAAAACCTCACTGTTCTCATTTCATACAATGTCAATGTACAAATCATGCAAAAAATGTTACTATTACTGCCATAAATTTCTAGATGTGTCTGTTAATTTTGTTGATGTTACTCATGAGGCCATGCCCTGTAAAATTTATGTATTCTTATGGCTTTAAAAAAAATAATTTTTTAAAAAGGCAACGCAAGAAAGCTGGTCTTAAATGATTTTCTAATGAACATATTTATTCAGTTTATTATTCAGAATGGAAAACTAAATATCGAATATAAACTGCCTCATAGACTTGGATCACTGTACTTTAATAGCTGCTTTCTCATAAAATTACACAAAGATTTACTTTTAAAGAATTGAATCATCTTTATTGATTTCATAAAAAAATAATTTAAAACTTGATTTATATTACACAGACACAATATATTATCTCAACCCCTTCACTGATTCCATACGATCTCATTTTCCTTGCAATCGTTCTAACAGAGTCCACTCACAGGAACATGAAGCCAAGAATGCCACATCAGTGCACAAAGGAGCATTTCTTGGACTTTTTTTTTTCCTAGAACTGAATCAAAGGTCTACTAAAAAAGCTGTACCAACATATATTATCATTCCTCAAGGGGTTAAACTAACATCAAAGTTATAGTTGAAAACCAACAAAATGGAGATACAGTATTTTAACTGCTCTTGTACGCAACTCAAAACTTATGCCTAACTACATTATCATAAAATGTACGCGTTGAACTGATGAGACCAGTGCACAATAGTATACACTGTAAATGTAGGCACAATGACTTTAGTTAAGGAACGTTATATCATCCTTAACCAATGATTTGTTACTATCATTCACTTACAATTAGAACCTCCAAAGAATCACATATATTCAAATTACTTTTTAAAAAAAAGTTAGACATTTATACCTTTCAGCAGAAGAGTATGAGATAGCCAATATGCTACAGCAAGCTTTGAGATGGTGGCAGGTACTCTTGTCATTGACAACTCGGCAGAAACTTTGAAACATCTTCAAAGCATCACTACATTGAATAAAAGGCATCATTCCAATGACCTATTATCCCCAGATCACCGATGGAGCTTTTCGGTTCCCATAAGCATCTACTTAAGATTCCTCAATCCATACTTCATTGACAGGATAAACTAAAACACCTTCTTTGAAGCTTTTGCGTCTTTAACCTGTCAATATGCATTAGGAGCCCTTTAATCCATGGATGCATGCATGCATGGTAATGGCATATTAAAAGTCCTTATGAAATTGTAGATGAAAACAAGCTGTTGGGCACACAAAGTCATGTCTTTTCAAGATCTGAACGCAACTATCTGTTTGGATTTTTTTTTTATATTCATATAAAGTTTTCACAGACATTGTCATGAAAATTAAAATCAAACATTAAAGTTTTAAGAGCACCAGCACATACATGTGGAGACAACTTTTCTCTTTGCTATTAAAAAAACCCAACTCTAAATTATCTATATGTATGCAAATATATCCAAACACACAAACATACACACATACGAGCGCGCGCGCACACACACACACACATCTCCAAGAAGGCCGAGATTTTGTTGTTGTTGTTCTTTTTGAAATCTTGGAACAAACCATATAAAGCCCTGAAATTAGTAATTAGTAAAGGGACTGCTATGATAACTTAACCATAATATCAATTTGGAAGCTGCACTAAAACACCTGCCACTTTAAATTCACGAAGAACATCTATGTTTACCTTCTTGGTCATCTTAACTGAGTAATATAGCAATTTATAAGAGATGGAGCACAAATATATATACACACATACATATACATATATATACATATACATATATATATATATATATATATGCAGGCAGGCCAAGAAGGCAATGTGTTTCTGAATGTCACTTGGCCAATTGGGAGCTTGTAAAAATCTTCCCCTATTTCCCATCAAGTGCTTCTTTCCTTTGACCAGTTTTGACTTAGAACCTAACAGCACAGCAAACAGTGGCATATCATTTGTAGTTGCAGACTGTGAAGTCATCAGACATCAATGAAAGCGTTTTACAGTGTGGCTTAGATAGCCAAGATTACCATGATGTTTACTGTTTTACTTGATTATCTGCTAGTAGCCAGAATGATGAAAGCACAGGATACTGATGCATACAAGGTAGGACTATTAACCTTACTCATTACTTTTTTTAATACTTGTGAAAACTATTTGAATTAAGCTCATAGAATCCTGAAAAGCAAGACAGCTGATGGCAAATAACTGCCTCAGACAAGGTACTATAAAACTAAGTAACCTATTTTAAAATGCACAGTTGGTAACAAATCTGAAGGTAATATGCTAATTTCACAAGAATAGCACAGAACTGTTTGGTTTTCTTTCTTTTTTTTGTATTTTTGTTTAGTTGGTTTTGCTTTGTTTTTTTTTTTTATCTCATTTTCCACTGTTTTTTGTTTTTTGATGATACCTGATCACAATGTCCAGAGTATTTCTGTACACATCATCTGCAGTTTCAGTCTCATGTATTTTTTTCTGTCTAAATGTATACTTAATTGATAAATTCACTGTGATCAGGAAAACAAGTCAGGCATTTTAAATACATATTAAGGAGTACATATTTTCCTATTCCGTATACAAAGTACTTCATAAATATGAATTATGTTACAAAAATAGCTTTGGGTGCGCTCACACGGTAAGCACTTTGCTAATTTTGGACAATCTTTAAGGATTGTGGGTAGTTCACATAACTGAGAACAAACTCTAATGGTAGTTAATTTGAGCCACATTTAATTTGGATAAACACCACGTATTTCTTCAGCTCACCACAAATGCTATGTAACTCACGTTGATTTTTTTTTCTTCTCTTTTAGGTTTTTATGTATAGACAGGTAATGCTTAAAGTGTTCAAATTTATTTTACAGTTATGTGATGCATGGTATATTTTAAACAAATATTTGCACAATTTAACATTATAAATCCAGTGATTTCAAGATGCAGGCCATAAATGTTACCGATTTACAAATACTATCGAATGTTCTCTCTTGGCATGCTGTTTTTTTTTTCTTTTTGTTTTTGTGGTTTTTTTTGTTTTTGTTCTGTTTTTTAACTTTTCAGATAAGTTTTACACAGTTGTTACAATGCCACAAATCAAAAGGATTGTTCCAGTTCCGCCAACTTAATCTACGTGCAAGATGAAGGACCCAGTGAAGGTCTGAACACTGGTACCAGTTTTCTTGACTTTGCTTGACAAAGCGCGAAGAGACGAAGGTTTTGCATCAGGGTACAAACCAGATTTGCCTCTTGAGGTTAAATTCAGCGTACGATGTGTATAAAGCATCCCTTTGGCAATAGAGTTCGCAGTATCCCCACAGGACTCCACAGTATAGGTTTCTTGTAGTAAAATCTATTAAGGAAATTCTCTTCTACTGGACACATCTTTGCAACTACAGTTAGACACCCTTGGAAACGCCTGCCTCTATGCCTATTGATAATATAGTATTTGGAAATTAGAAGTCAACAAAAGGCACTTTCATCATTAAATAAATGTCCTCTGTATGAATGAAGATTGCATGACCTAGATCTTGTTCAAAGCTGTCTGCTCCTCGAGGACCTGCAGGTAGTCGGGGGAACTCTGAAGTTTGGCCTTCAGTTCAAAATACTCACTCTTCCTTTGTTCCACGACAATCTTACTGTGGTTGCCTCCTATTAATGACTTCTTGGTTTTTTTGTCTTGCTGTTTTTCCGGATAGCGGATCTCAAAGCCACTGACGCCTATGCTGTTGTACTCCTTTTTGCTTTCCAGAAAATTCTGAATGAACACATTGGAATCCCTGCTAGGGAACAGCTCATCCAGCTCATCGATCGTGCTCAGTCTCTTTCTGGTGTCTACGTGTAGTAAATCTTTCTCCTTCTCGGCAGCGTTCCTCATGATGACCTTCTGGCCTGGCGGATCCGAGAACATGAAGCCCGTCTCAGACTCCTTCAGGCCACACGTGTGGCTCTTGCTCATCTGCTCGATGGTCTGGGGGATGAAGGCCTCTGTGCTCAGGCTGTCTTTCTTGTTGGTCTTGTGGTCGTGCTTCCGCAGCTGCAGCTGCATGGAGCCGCACTCGGGGCTCCCCAGGCCTTCATGCTTCACAGTGGGCTTCTTGTTGCGCCGCAGCACGAAGACGAGGAGGCAGAAAGCCACGAACACAGTCAAAATGAGCACCACTAGGATGCTTAAGATGAGAATGGACAGGGGCACAGGGCCACCAGGCGGGCTTCGAATGGGACCCAGCGGGGTGGTGAGCGTGATGGCTGGCGCAGGGCTTGTGAATGGCGTCGATGGCTTGTTTAGGAGCTTGGGGCACAAGATCTCATTTTTGAGGGACTTTAGTTCGATGTTGGCGAACTGCACTGGCGTCTCGCATTTCAGTTCTTTGACCACAATGCCGTCGTTGAGTTTTTCCAGCCACAGCTTCAGGGCCACCAAGTCACAGGTGCAGTCCCAGGGGTTGCCCTCCAAGTCGATCTGGGTGAGGGCCTGCAGCTGATCCAGCACCCCACTGACGGGCAGGTACATGAACTTGTTGTTTCTCAGGTTCAGTCGAGCCAAGGAGGCTCCTGAGAAGATGTAAACGGGCAGGCTCTTCAGGAGGTTATTGTTTAAGTAGAGCAACTGCAAGTTCGGCATCGAGTCAAAGGTGCCTGCCAGGATTTCCTTAATCAAATTGTACTCCAAATACAGATACTGCAGGTTGTGGAGGCCCGAAAAGATCTCAGGGTAGAGTCTCTCTATCTGGTTGCCATTGAGATAGAGCCTGCGCAAGTTGGTAAGATTGTGGAAGACGTCTCCCTTGAGCGCTGCGATCTGGTTGCTCCCTAAATGGAGCAAATCCAGGCCCTCAAAGTCAGCAAAGTCGGCGCCATCCACGTCCTTGATGCCATTGCCGTTGACGTGCAGCTTCTTGGCATTCAGAGGTTTCGGCATCAGTTCAGACAGGGACTGGATATTTTTCTCTTGGCAGTTGACGCTCAGCCCCAAATCTGAAGGATGCGTTTTGCAAAAGCAAGGCCCTGGGCACGTTTGGTAAGACACGATCTGACTGAGATTGCGGTTGGAGAGGGCTTTGCCTGCCACGATTCCCGAGATCTTGGAGGGATTTGTCGTTTTCGGTGGCTTGGTCACTAAGCGGTGGAGGGATGTTTGAGTGGTGTGCCCATTGGGTGTGGTGAAGCCATTCTCCAGCTGAGACGGGGGCAGGATGCGCACATCAAAATCGCTGCCCGTGCCCATGGGGCAGAGCTCTTGCTTGTTGGTCTCCTTTAAGAGCCTGCCATACAAGTCACTGGGGGTCTCACAGATCGCTTCCCCAATGTAGATGTTATAGGGCATGTTCTCGAGCCATGCCTTCAAAGGCAGCAGGTCACAGCTGCAGTTCCACGGGTTGTCCTCTAGCTGTAACTCGACCACTCGGCCAATGTGTTCAAGCACGCCGATATAGGGGAGCTTCTGGATCCTGTTCCCTCGGATATCCAGATGGGTCAACGATGCAAAGCGGAAAATATTATCAGGAAGGAATGAAATCAGATTGTCATTAAGAATGAGGACCTTCAGTTTGTGGAGCTTATTGAAGGCCCCTCGTTCAATATACTTGATTAAATTGTAGTCAGCCTGGAGATACTCCAAGTTCTCGATGCCAAGGAAAGTGTCAGCTCGGAGGATCTTTAATTCATTGTTGTTCAAGTGCAACTGCTTTAATGCACTGAGCCCAAGGAAGGCTCCTCCCTCAATGTTCTGCAGTTTATTATTTCCCAGCTGCAGGGACACTGCGTGTGAAAAATTCAAGAAGGTATTTGGGTAGAGGATATTTAAAAAATTGTTTTGGAAATTGAGGTGGTAAAAATTAGACCAGGGAGGTTTCAGCTGGTTTGGTCTGTAGACGGACACCTTCTCACAGTTGACATAAAGCACATTCTCGACGGACACGCAGGAGCACACGCTGCAAACGTCCACCGTTAGGTCAGAGTCTGCACTGGCCGACGAGATCGGGGCTGAGAAAATCATAAAGAGCCAAAGAAACATCTTCTTGCACTCGGCAAACACCTTTACGCTTCTGAATAAAGAGAAACAATCTAAAAAATAAAAAGAAAACAGTTTTTCAATGGTCATTACTGGAAATAGGATTTGTGTTTAAATCATACCACAGTCAACAAATGGCTACAGTGATGAGCTTTTCCTTCTTTTTTTTCTTTGCAAGGTTCCAAAAACTCCAAGTCGTTTCACTCAGCCGAGCAATAATAACCTCCAACAGTCTCCAGTGTTTTATTTCAGTCCCCATAGTTTGTACAGAATTTACAATGTAATGGAGCACACTACAAAGAGGAGGGGTTTTTTGTTTGGTTTTTTTTTTTTTAATACTATTAATCAGGTTCCAGTCTCAACAATCTGAAAAGGTTTTCTCTGCAAGGACCAACAAACACAGCTCGTGAACACAGGCCATGAGCTTCCTACCTGTAACTCAAATGACCCCAGATCACGGCGTGTGCTAAAAACTGTGTAGTGAGCGCCACAAGGGCATAGCAATGTGTGAACATCTATTATCCAGGCAAGGGCTTGATAAGAAGGCTGCGAGGACAGGCGAGCCCTGCTTCAGTGGAGGATGGCAGTGGAGTGCTGGGTTGCCATAGAGAGGGACCAGTGTATGACTCAGGTGGAAGGAATCTCAGAGGCGATCTGCCTGGGTTGCAGACCACAGAGAGTTAAGGAGTATGCTGTAGATCAGTTCACTCCTGTGTACTGCTTGCTGCCTTCAAAAAAAGCCCAGATGACCGTGGGCTTCTAGAAAAATAATGGCGACAGGGCTGGCCACATTTTGGTTTCAGGTAAATAAGCTGCATTTAGTTTTTCTGTCAGTAATTTCTCAAATAGGAAGAAGAAGAGGGAAAAAAACCCCAAAACCCTACTAAACCAATGCTTTTGTGTTCGGCCCCCTGCTCCAGCAAGCAGGAGGGGGACCGTTTTGTTTCTGCATTGCCTAGTTTATCTCCACGCAGTTTCCTACCCCCAGAACTGGCTCTCTTGCCTGCCTGTCTCCCTCTCATCCCTTCAGGTACCATTTTGAACCCAGGTTCAAGGGATACTCCACTCAATGCTTGTCTCTCTTACTGTGACCACAGCTTGCCACTGCTGAGAAAGAGGGATTCACATGTCACAAACCTTGAGGTAGTTTGCTCTGCAGTGCCAGAGCCCTTCAGCAGAGCAAATTTGGGTCCATCAAATGATCAGTTCCTGAACTTTCACCCCTCAACTTTCCCTGCCCCCTGGCCCTGCCTGAGGCTGCCTTGAGAATCTGTGGTTAGGGAAACTTTCCTGCTTAGCAAATTAGCCCAGGGTAGGTCATGCCATAAATACTGCATACACACACAAAGATAGATAGATAGATATACCAAGCTTCCTGGGGAAGGTTAAAAAGAACACAAGCAGCATGTGTTTCACTGAGGCAATTTTAGGCCCTGGGAGTCTTTTCCACAGTGAATGAATGGGAAGCTGGGTGCAATTTCAACATGGTCACCCTCAGATATGAAATAAATCAAAAAAGTGCAAGGCACAGATAGAGAGGGGTTGGTGCAAAGACACAAAGTGTGACATGGGAGACACCTTTATTTGCTCACAAGGAATCAGTTAGTGGTAAGACCTAGCATGTCTCAAGGTAGACAAGCCACTGGGCAGGCCTGAGAAAGATTGGGCATTTGAAGTGGTTTAAGAAGCAGGGGGGTCCTGCCTGGATTCCAGCAAGCTGCCACCTACCCTTGTGTTTCCTCTAGTCACCAGGGCAGTGTGGTTGGCATTGCCAAGAGAAGTCATAATATTCAAGCATGACATCACCCTAAGCAACTTTTCATGTAAAATCAACATTTCACTGGATCGTTCTCACTTGCTACCAGTGTGGTTTTCAACAGCTATTCTGGTTCAGGTGAGTCATTTCTTGTTACTAACCCCTCTCCCTTCCCCCCCCCCAATAAAGCAAACAAACACAAAACACGGGAACACACATATACCAAACAAGCCAAGAGCAACAAAATATAGTGAAGAACCCTAAGTCAGTACAAAAACAAGGAGCATCAGCAGATCTCCAATTGCATAAGGAACTGTCCTCCTCCTTGAAATTTCTACTTCAAGTGGCAAGGGGGGTGGGGAAGGCACAAGATGAGCTGGGAAGTTCCCAATGCTGCGTCAATGAAGCAAGCCAAGCAAAAGGCTGCTGGCGGGAGAGCGAGCCTCCAAACAGGGAAGGGGACGAAAGGGCAGGAGACCAGGGGGGCTTAGAGAAAGGAAGGCAGATAGTCAGAAGGCGAAGAGGCATCGAGCATAACCAAAAGACTCTGCACACACTCACGTGGCATCAGCAAAGCCTGCACATTTTATTATCGGGGAAAGGAAACATTCCGAGCTTCAGTTCAGGGCGGCAGGAAAATGGGGAGACAAATAGTGCCAATGGTGCACATGGTGGACGGAATTAAGAGTCACTGAATTGTACACGTGAAAAAAAAATGTTGCAATAGCAACTGCCTTGCTATGCATAAAATGTTACCGTAATTGTCAGAAGGCTGGAAAACAGTGTCACCAAATACCCTGCTGTATGAAGAGGCAAGGCTTGAGAAACTAAACGTAAAATGGAAGAAGATACAGACTAATATGTCAGGCTTAAATCGAAGGTTATTCATTGAAAAACTCTGGAAAGTCAAGTCAAATCTACCTTCGCGAAGCATTAGATGAATTAGTCCTTCCCTTTCAATGCACAGGCAATTATGCACAAATGGAGGGGGTAGCTGGAGGGAAAAAGTAAAACAAAACCCAAAATCCAACTACAAAGTGTGACTTGGATTCGTAAAGCCATTTCTGGGCTGCCTTGCTGTGCCCAGCGGGCAAGCCGCTTGGCTCCCACGCTGACCGGGACTACCAGACCCAACACCCTCACCCCAAACCCAGATCCACCGGTGCGGAGCCCCGCGCCTGGAACCTCTGCCCGCCCGCCAGCCGAGCGGGGGCGGGGGGCTCAGCGGCGAGACGCCCCCAGCCTGCCCCCGTGCGCTCCCTCGGGCCAGCATCGGCTGGAGGGTGGCTGGCGCGGGTGCGTACCGCAATGCTCTGCCGCATCCCAGTGGCCTGGCCGGCGAGCAGCCCCCTCCCGGGCGGGGTCCACCGTCTCCCGGCGGCGCCGGAGGAAGGGGCAGCGCGGGGGCCTCGGACTCCGCTGCGCACCCAGTTCTGCGCGCCCGCACCCCAGCCACCGGCTGCGGAGTTGCCGTCGGCCTCCCGGCCGGAGTGCAACACACTGGCCCTGGGCGTTTCTCCCGCTGGCCCCAGGCGCAGTCCCCGCAGCGGCCCGGCCCTGTCCGCCCTCGCCCCAGCCGGCACCCAAGCCTGCTTTCCCCCAGCCAAGCATCTCCGCACCATTTGGGCACCTGGCAAAGTCGCGCTGGCCGCTCTCCCCGGCCGCGCAGGGCATTTGGAGTTACCCACCGGCTTCTTGGGTCTTCGTTCAGCCGGGTGCCAGCCGCCTCTGATGAGAGCCCTCCTGGGTTCCCGTGTGCGCAGGGTGCCCGCGAGGAAGGCGCAGACAACAAAGCCCGGAGAAGCGCCGCGGCCCGACAGCCCGAGCCTGGGGCACTGTCCCGTTGCCCGGCGCCCGGAGCTGTGATGCTGGGGACGCAGGATTCTCCCGAGCCTCCGGGACTGGCGGCCGCGCGGCGGGCCGGCGGGGGGACACCGCGGCCGCTTCGGCCACTCAGCCCAGAACCAACACGACCGTGCAAACTAAAAATAATAAGCTACCTGCCCCCCTCAGCGCGCGCGCACACACGCGC